TATAAAATTGACTCATAAAAACGTGTACATGTGCACAATCGACTTGAGAGATGCGTATTTTTTAGTACCTGTCCACAGCGACCATCAACAATTTCTAAAATTCTACTTTGATGGCCAATTGTATCAATTCACTTGCCTACCGTTTGGGTTATGTACAGCTCCGTTATGTTTCACAAAGCTTATGAAGCCAGTCGTCTCTTTTCTCCGCAATTTAGGCATCTCTACAGTCAATTATTTAGACGATTTTCTAATCTTTGGAGTTTCCTATGAATCCTGCCTTAATAATGTTAGCACAACCATTCGGTTTTTAAGCTCATTGGGTCTTATCATCAATAACAGCAAAAGCATTCTGGTACCCACTACTCGTATAAGATTCCTCGGCTTTCTGATAGATAGTGTTAATTTAACAATTGAACTTCCTGCCGAAAAGAAAAATCACATCCTCAGGTTAGCCTCATATTATTTGAACCAATCGAGATGTAGAATTCGCGACTGGGCAAGGTTCATTGGCACCTTGGTGTCGGCTTGTCCTGGTGTGAAATACGGGTTTCTTTATTGCAAATCTCTAGAAAGGGAAAAATTCTTAGCTTTAGAGAAAAACAATGGAAATTATAACGCAAGTATGGCTATTCCTGAAAACATAAAGAGCGATATTTCATGGTGGAAAGATCACATTTCAACAGCTTTCAATGACATAAGGTATGATTCCTTTCATATCACCATCTTTACCGACGCATCGCTAACAGGATGGGGGGCTTGCTCTGGCCAGGATAGAACCCACGGTTTCTGGTCCGACTCCCAAAAACTATTGCATATAAATAATTTGGAATTATGGGCTATATTTTACGGCATCCAGTGTTATGCAAAACTTTTAAAAAAATTGCAATATCCTAATTCGATGCGACAATACAACAGCCGTTTCTTACATTAACAGAATGGGGAGTGTTCGGTTTCCAGAGCTATGTTCTCTGGCTAAACAAATTTGGCAATGGTGTGAGGAAAGAAATCTCTGGCTTTTTGCATCATACATCCCATCTAAAGATAACGCTATAGCAGACGATGAGTCCAGGAGCTTGAATTTTGAAACGGAATGGTCATTATCTCAAACTGCCTTCGACCATTTAACCGACATCTTCGGAAAACCAGAGATCGATCTTTTTGCCTCTCATACCAATGCGAAATGCGAGGTATACGCTTCCTGGCATAGAGATCCAGGATCTACATATATCGATGCGTTTACAATTCGCTGGAACAGTTTTTATTTTTATGCATTCCCCCCTTTTACCTTAATTCTCCGAGTTTTACAAAAAATAATTCAGGATAAGGCTGTCGGAATTTTTGGTGGTTCCTTGGTGGCCTTCACAACCTTGGTACCCACTTTTCCGTCAGTTATTGATCGACCAAGAAATTCATTTTCCCCCTTCACCTGATTTACTATCTTGTGCGGTTTCCAGGTCACATCCGCTGTCGAAAACCCTTACCCTGGTAGCAGCGAAGTTATCAGGCAAGCGTTTTTGAGTAGAGAGGTGCCGGAATCTGCTATTTCTACAATCATCGCCTCAGTCTCCAGATCCACATTGCAGCAATATAACAGCTCCTACAAATTGTGGTGGGAATTTTGCTTTAGTAATGACATTTCGATCTTTAAACCCACAATCAAAGACGTGGTGTCATTCTTGCAAGAGTTGACAAAGAAGAAAAACCTCACGTCTGGCACTTTTAATTCTCATACATCTGCTCTTTCACTAATTTGCTCAACTGATTTAGCATCCAATCCTATAATTAGACGCTTCAAAAAAGGCATTCATCGTTTACGGCCTTCTCGGCCAAAATATTCGGCCACCTGGGATCCTATACCTCTCCTAAGTTATCTAGAAAAGTTACCATCTCCACTTAGCCTCCAAAGTCTGTCACAAAAATTGACAACGTTATTAGCTCTAATAACAGGAGAAAGACTCCAGACAATTTCTCTTATTCGTCTTTCACATACCTCCCATGGTCCCAGCGAAACTACCATTAATATTTCAGACCCAATTAAAACCAGTCGAATTGGGAAACCTCAACCAACCTTGCATATACCGGTTTTTCAACAAAACCCTTTCCTGTGCGTAGCCACCATCCTGAAGGAATATATTGACAGAACAGCTAGCTTGAGAGAACCCGACAACGATTTTCTATTCGTGACATATAAAAAACCACATACCAGGGCGTCCAAAGACACTTTAAGCAGATGGGTAAAACAGACTCTTGCATCGGCGGGTGTCAACACAACACTTTTTACGCCCCATTCAGTCAGGCATGCGGCTACCTCAACGGCGTTAAGAAAAGGCGTTTCCGTAGATAGTATATGTAAAACAGTTGGTTGGACGCAACATTCCACATTTGCAAAGTTTTATAATCGTCCTTTACAAACCAACAATGAGTTTGCAAATGCCATTTTGGACATAAATGCCTGATTAGTTAGAACAGTTTAAGAGTTTGTGACGTACTTTAGGTACTCTAGTTGTTTTTTGAAAAAATATTACTATTAGGGTAAATGTTAAAAATTGACCCCTTGTTTTTTGCTTTTGTTTATGAGAATGCAGAATATATGTTTTTGCCTTTTTGTGTTTGTATACTTGTATTTTTTATATCATCAACTCGCTCGCAACTCTATCTCATCTTTAAACATCTACATAGTGAATAAACAAAGTGATGTCTTCGGACTGGACCCAAAGTATAATTGATCGATCAAACGAACTTACCTGAAGTGAAGTTCGATCGTAATTATACGAGGGTCCAGTCCGAAGACATCACCCCCACCCTATATGCAACCCTCCCAAGTTGCGAGCAAGTACCATTTCTTTAAACAAATGATTCAACGCGAGTGGCCAGGGCGCGGCGAGGAGGTGGGGATTCTCGTCTTTCAACTTGGTGCGCGGATCGTACTCCAGGGGCGGACTACATAGTGAATAAACAAAGTGATGTCTTCGGACTGGACCCTCGTATAATTACGATCGAACTTCACTTCAGGTAAGTTCGTTTGATCGATCAATTATTATTTACTCCTCGTTAAAACAAACTCTAGCGTCGACGTTCAATTTTGCCAGCCCATTTTGGCCAGCGGGTCATAAATGCGTCGACAGGCTGCGACAAGCAAAAAGATTGAATGCTTATGTATGTATAAGGATGTATAACCGAATTCATTCCTCCATGTCCCCATAAATTGGCCACGTACTCTTTCCAAAACAGATTGTAATAAAGTTGAAGCAACAAAAAATGTTTGTTTTTATGCTGTATTTGGCAGTTCGTGTTGTCTTGCCTAATCGCCATGTTCCTGAGGATGTTCCAGGTTACAGTGGAGATAAATACCTTGTCGATTTAGCTACAACCACTGTACAACCATCTTGAATAGGCTTTTCATCTTCAGAAAAGCTTTAATTGTTGTTGTTCCAAGCTTGGGATTATTACAAAACGGTTCTGTTGATAACAATTAAATATACGTTACAATGTTCAAAGCGAAGGGCAGATTAATGGATGTTAATGTTAATTTCCAACGATGCTGGAATAACAACTATTACAGTGGAATAGAGGACGCTTCGTATTATGATGAAAATATATTCGTGCTGCGTATGTATCATAGGCATATCTAGTCATTATTCGAGAAGGGATTAGATATGCTATACGCGAGGGTTACGTATTCAGCAGTTTTGTAAAATCTTCATCATAAAGCTGCGAAAATATTTCGTTGTATCTTTGAAAAAATTGGTTTCAAATTGAAAACATGTTATATTTCTTCTTCGTACTGCGCAGAAAATTCATGCGAATAATTTAAAAACCTACAGAAAAGAAGGATTAAGCTACTACAAAAACGACGAAGCCTTCATCTTTTCCTCTAGAAACATAAAGACATGTGGTAGATGCGAAAAAGTAACTAAATACAAATTATTTTTCATTCTTGACAAGTGGTACTTGGGTATGGAGAGGTGAAAGAATAGAGACTGATCTGTAACCAAGACTTTACCTGAAGATAAATTCTTAGAAGAATGGAAATATCACTTTACGATTGATTTTGTTACAGTACAACGTCAGAAAGTTGAATGTTGCTTGGCTTGTGAAATAAGAATAAACAACTGTGCTGTCTCCTGGCTTGGAAAATACCAATCAGGCCATTTCAGCTAGGTCCGGGATGAGCTCTACTATCAACATCTACGCTCATGATCTGCGGATTGCACAATTACATGGAAATCCTGGAATAACGTGGAATTTTCGAACACATACGCGACATCATTATGAAATAGATGGGGTAAATGCAAATAGAAACGTTCTGTTGTTACTTATTACACATTGGTGCATGTTCGTCATTGCGGATTATAGTTTCGTATGATAATTTTGCCGCATTGTCACATGCGACGTTCATGTTCTCCATGTAAATACGGACGTTTATTTCGACGCGATAATGGATTTTTAATCTAGTACTGCTAATAGTCAGTACCGTTATGGAACCGTTTATTGAACCTCAGTAGGGAATGTAATCCCGCAGGAAATTCTCAATCCCGGTATTTTCGGGACTGGACATCTTCAATCCCGCGGGATCCAGGTATTTTCTGGATTCCGCATGAATAATAAAACTTCGCAAATAATTTATAACTTCTGACGGTACTTAATGAAATAAATCCAATTATATAATCAATGTTTTTTAATAATCAACTTACTTATTCAAAATTGACAAAGTTAGAAAGCCAAACATTATTTTGAAATTAAAATTGATAAAAGTAGAAAACTAAACATTATTTAAATTAAAATTGACAAAAGTGGAAAACTAAACATTTTGAAATTAAAATTGACAATAGTAGAAAACTAAACCTTATTTTGAAAATAAACGGCTCCTCACCTTACAGAATATATGACCAGCAGCAGAAAATGCTCCGTCTGCTTCTGCGCTTGTAGGAACTATCGTCATTAAGGCGTTAAAAACAAATTTAGGATATGTGCCTTTTTGTCCGCCTGACTCAAAATAATTAATTATTATGGCCAGATCTAACTTGGGGTTTTCCAATAGACTTCAAATTCGTCAAAGTCAGCTCGAGTTCGTCTTGAAGTGACAGTGCTGCTACAGGTGCTGGTGAATTTGACTCCAGATTGGCGAGAGCCAAGTCGTCTTCAGATTCAGAGACATCAGCAGGAGGAGCGGTGGGTGTTACTTCTTTGTTATTGAATTGTAATCTGTCTACAATAGTTTTAATGTATTACCTTCTTCGAGGGTAAGTGAAATGTCGTATCATGCTTAAGCTCAGTCCTATCTTCTTCATACCTAAGCGGATCATTTAAGTACATTATTACCGCAGTCAAGTTAGTTCGCTGCTCTGCATTGCATCATATTCTTGTTCGGTGACCAAATAATCCGGATTCGCACCGAGCTTCAATCAACCAGAACTTTAGAAACGCACAATTTTACCTTATTAAATATCGTTATCATATCTGATAGACTTGACCACCTAGGTTTACAATCCAGCAACAAAGCAACGTTTTTTCCCATATCTGTTAGCATACGATCATTTTTTGTGGGGGAATTTTTGAAGGGTCTGGCCGCCTTTTTCACTTTCTTTATAACCTCGGCATATTACACAGCCAGATCTATTTCGCTTGAAGGAAACAATAAATCAAAGCTGCCATCTTCATCACTACATTTTGAAAATATCATCATCATCATCATCATATTCATACGTTCCATCATTGACGGCTTCACTTTCCGCAGTCATTTCTTCATTCAACGCTTCAGATGAAGGTTTTTAAATATCATCTAAAACAGCCAACTGAATACCATGCGCATAACAAAGCTGCTGATCGGGCTTGATAAAATTACCAACTTTTACCATGACTTTGGCATCGTCAGTTGTGATACACACTATATCATCATCTAAAGACAAGTCATATTCTGACAATTTATCCTTTAAAATCGAGATACAGGCTTCTGCAGGCAAACTTAAATAAATGCGCACCAGCCCCAAGTTCCAGAAAATAGGTTTTTCCTGAGAAAATCCGTGAGTATTTAGGTTCATATACGAGCTTCTGTTTCTTGTACAAGTCCATTCATCGAATGTTAGCGTGAATTTATTGTTGTCTTATTTCATCTTTAACAGATCTCGAATAACAGTCATTTTTAAAGTCGTGCCATAATTCATAATCATTAATTTAATAGAATTTGGAGAAGTAGGTAAATCATAATTAGCGGCTTTAAATAGATTTTGCAAATCCGTCGAAGAGCAGAAAATTCGGAATGGTAAACCATCTTCCGACACCATGCGTGATACTTTCTTTTCTACAGAGCAATCTACTTTTTGGAATTGATCGGTGATTTTACGTTTCCTCGAAGCAGTACATACAGATGCTGACGCCGAGGAATTAGATTGCAGTATTTGACGAACCCTCGAGTCTTGCTTGGTATCAATTTTATGTTTTGATTTTAAATGCACGTGCAAACCTTTATTAGAACCCCCTGTGATTTTAATTACTGCTTTACACATTTTGCATTTCGCAGTCTGTGAATCTTCCACCTTCCAATAATAACTCCGCACAGCAACAGTACTAAAAGTCTTTATATATAGTTTCCGATGTATCATCACTATTTATTGTACTTACTATTTATCTATTTGAGCCCTGACAAATAATTCGTCGCGTTGCGTTTGTTTGCGGCATCAAAATAGAACTAACAAAAATCGTACGTAAACAAAAACACTTCGTTTGGGTATCCCCCACGGGCGTCCTCTGTTTCTGACTCTTCTGAACGGGATTAATCCTGCAAATGGCATGCGAGATCCCGGTATTTCGGGATCCCAGTATTGCATTCCCTAAACCTCAGTTTGTCAGGACTGGCAACCCAGAAGTTGAAGAAAAGAAGAGGAAAGAAGGAAGGAGAAGAGTGCAGAGGAAGAACAATAAATTGAGATATGAAGTGCTTTGGATTTATTGAACTGATCCAACAAGTAATTTTCATACGATTAGATTAGGGATAATTTTGGTGCATATTCTGTCAGAATGTTTCAATTTTTGAGGAGGAACATAGAGTCATATCGTAGAAAAGATCTACACTGACCTGCCGCCGATATGGAAAAGGCTTGAAACCGCTAACAATGGAGGTGGAGTCAGCTCTCTAAAATTCATTAAACATAGATAGTGTAGTCGAAGTAACAGCTTTCCAGACATCTGAATTATATCCCACGCTTTATTTAGGCTTTGCATAGGATGAGCAGGCAAAAAATACTACACTAAACGGATAACTGGGTTACGAGTTCACGACTCCGACTGGAAAACGCTGAAATGGTTCTTGACTCGTCAATGGGGCAATAAATACCCGACCAGATTGCGAAAGCGGTAAGTCACAGTCGACAGCGAGCGTGGAATTAAGATGTCACGTCGAAATAGTTATCAATTTGTTGTAAATTGATTGCAAGTGCTATAAATTAGTGTAGCAGTAATAGATAGATTAGACTCTAAACAGTAAAATTGTGTTTTTGTTACAATAATGTCACTTGTTTGGTTACTATTCCCTGCAACTGCTGCCTCTGATTGCTACTATTCGTTCATTGAACTGCGCATTATTTTGTGAGCTTATGTAGTGATAACTGTCAAGTATCTCGTTAGATATGAGTTTACACTTTGAAGGCCCTTACAGTGCTTTTCGAAAGTTAAAGTAGCAAGCTGTAATTTGCAGCAATTAAACTGATGGATTAATATTATATTGCCGTGCGAAAGTGGGAGATGAGAATTTCAAGGTGGCAGCTGGACGCCATCTTTTTAATGGGTTGTCTGATACCTCATTTTGAAGATTCTCATAAATAATTCATCACCCTAGAAGATCAAAACACTATCTTTCAAAATGGCGGACTCACAGGCTGTCAAATTTGAGCTTTTTGTATATTGACTCACTTATAGCTCGAGAACCAATCAACAAAACTCTGTAATATGTTATATCGATCGAATATGTAATGAAATAGAGAACAGATCAATAAAAAAAAACAAAATCTGTCAATTTTTTTTTTAATCTTAATCTGCCATATTTTATTGCCAATATAGATAGACCCCCTAAAAGGGAAAAAATGATATAGGTACTTAAACGTTTTTATGATTATGATTTACAAGGGATTCCATATACATGCAGTAAACGCTCAACGTTGATAGCTGGCGACTCCTCTATTTTGAAAGGTAGTATTTTCGCGTACTAGGCTTATAAAGTGCTAAAAAGTAGCTTCAAAATAAGATATCACACTCATTAAAAAAATATAAGTTGGCGCCCAACAGCAACTTTCACGCTTTTTTTCATGCAAAAATTTAACCATTCCAAATTTTAGTTTGCTACAGAGACTATATTGTACTATAGCTAAGACCCATACATCGTGGAACACATTTACTGCTATTATAAGTGAAAAAGGTGCCTTTAAATTTGGGATTTGAGCAATTTATAGTACATCTCTACGTTGGACACAAGTCTGTCCAACTGCCCAACCAGTTTCAGTCCAATTCATACCAATGCTGTTCTGGTTCAACATTTACCTTTTTGAATCTTTCCAGACATAGAACATGCCCTCCCCAATTTGCCGTGTCTTTTTATAGACTGTCAAAAGACTTCGGTAGAAACATTCATCGTACATACTTCATAAATGAAAGGATCTCAAAAGAAGATTAATTTATCAAAAGGACTAATTGAAAAGAATACCTTCAGTAAGGATTTTAATTTAAGTTGGGCTAATACCAGTTAGGTTGATGAAATTATGAAATATTAATGAAGTGCCGGTAAAGGTCGGTTTTCGCTTTAAGCGCAGCAGCGTCCACGCGAAGGGTAAACGCAGGCCTGTATTTAGCTCGGATTGTGGACACAGCTGATGGCAGGACTGACAATGCGCACATTCTTCTTTAAATAGGGTGATTAAACAATTACTGGCAATAACGTCATAGGACGAGGATCTTAGTTCCTATGTCGTGTCCTTGAGGCCTTAATTTAGTATTGACCTGCGAGAATCAAAATTTGCACAGGACACAAATTCGATTAATTAGAAGGTGGTTTTGAAGTAATGCATCTAATGAATGTCATCTAATTCTTCTAAAATACCTGTCAAACTAGAGAAAGGCTATACGATTTGTATGAAATGGGCCCCTAATTCCCATATTAAATCAAGAAATGCTTCATATATAACCTGGCATAGCTTAGGTGAAGAGTTCAATAGTTATTTAATTAACTTTCATCGTAAAGATAGTTTCTCTTTCTTTGGAGAATAATGACAAAAGAAGAATATGATACTGGTAGCGACATCTGTTTTTAAGTTGAATATGTACCAGTAAAATGTGGGGATGTTCTCCTATATGAGTATCGAGTTTGAATTCGATCGATTTTTGAAGTATAAAATCCTACTTAATAACTTAATTTCTATGCAGAAAAATTAAATGACAGAATGCTTATTCTTCCAGAAACTTCGGGCAGATATTTAATCCACTTGACTACCCTACAAAATAATCTCGTTTTTCAAATTTGTATTTACTAATTTTACTGTCTTATCGCTATATCGCTTATGATACTGCTCTCGCCTCTGCTGGAGGTGTCACGACTACGAAGTCCCGGCAAATTAGTACATTTCCTTGCCGAATGGACGACGAGCCTGCGCGGGCGCAGAGGACACCGCGGTTTTATTTTGTTGTATGAGAGTTCAAGAAACATACATACGTTATATGCTTACATTGATTATAAATAGGATAATTGCAAATATTTATTTTATAAATAAATATCACCCAGACCCCGACAGTGTGTAAGTTATAGTGGCAAACAGGGGTTTATATCTACACACTACATTATACCGCAACTCAATTGACAAGTCGATGAGTTTAGAAGTATAACCTTTTTTTCAATATTTTTCCCTTCAGGTAAGTAGTGGCAGGGCTATGATCAATAAAACGCTCAGCAATTACTGTCATATCAATCCAGATATCGATCCATGTTATTGATTGGTTGAATGTGTCTCCCAGTTGCATTTGTGCCCGGGATCCAATGAAAAAATAGTCTTTTGTAGCTAAACCTGGTGATGTATGAAGTATTTCTTGATTTAATCTTATACAAATACTATTTTTTTTCTAGCTTGGGAGATATTTTACAAGAAATGTACCATACCTATTAATTAGATCAATTTCTTCAAACCGCCATCTAATTGGTTGGATTTGAGCCGTATTCGCAAATTTTGTACCCCGCAAATAAAATTGGTCCTAAATGTTCCCCTCCTGTGATGCATGTAAATGCTTACTCCATTGATACTACGATGATCTAGGATAGAATACCAATATTCTTAAAAAAAGAAAATATCATACAATAAACTGCTGTCTTGATTCGGGTCTAAAGGCCGTCGTCGGTTGGAATTTCTTCCTAACGTTTCGCTAGCACGAGTGGCAAGCTTGTAGACTACATCCAGCATCCGAAATGGAAGGACCTCTGAAGAAGCTTGCCACTCGTGCTAGCGAAACGTTAAGAAGAAATTCCAACCGACGACGGCCTTTAGACCCGAATCAACTCAGCAGTTTATCAACTGGCCGCGAAAGCCTTAACCAATTTGTCACATCATACAATTTTCTATCTCTTCAATCATTGCAAGTGTATTCAAAGTAGAACAGCCAATCAATTTGAATTTTCTAAGAAAGTGTCATTTTAAAAGTAATCCTGTTGAAAAGTGCGACAGATATTTGCAAAAGTCAAAGACTCAAAACATTTTCATTTCTTGTTCCTTAAGTCTGAGAATACATTATGTTTCTGCCTCCCTCCTGTAATGCGGGTTAGGAAAATTTTGCGCATATTGAGTTAATCATGTTATTCATATTTCGTATAAAAAGAATTCTGGCAATAATTTATTTAGATTTCGTAAATACAACAACATAAACACAACTTTGGACATAGTCAAAAAGCATGTTTTGACAAGTCCACATTTAAAATAATTTCCAAATTCGTTTTTTGGTGTTTTCCTTTTTTACTTTGTGGTCACTCCTCATCCCAAGTCCACTAATCGGTTCCAGACAGCACCAAAAATAATTGAGAAGTCTAGAGTTTGTATGCGTGGGTAGTCAAAATTATTGCGAATTATTGCGTAGAAAGTCAATCTAATCGATTCCATTTTTTGTTAGCTCTATATGCTTGCATGCAGTATTTTTAACAGTAATGAAATCGTGTATCTCTTAGCGTGAACCTCTCTCCTTTAATGGGGGACAGCCATTACAAATCTGTTTATTGCGCCTCTAAACAAAGTCGTTGAATTAAGGTCGGTCCCATTTCCGACATTCTTTAGCCACGAAATCTGATGCCAACCCAGACTCCATTTTCCCTTAATCCATCCCTATAATCAATTGCCCGAGGTGCTACCTTCCGTTTTTGATTATGAGAGGTAGCTTATTTTTCTAAATTGATGGTGTTCAACAGCTTTTCTTATGTATCTATTCTTTTGGAAACATACTTCTGTAAAGTCAGATTGTTCTGAGAAATACTTGACTCGGGCAACTCCAAATTCACCCCTTGGTTCGACTCTGCTATGGATGAACTATTCAAATTAAAATTCATGCGTCGCAGACATCGACGCCTACCGACGCTGCCGTCGCATCGCTGAAATGGCGTGGCGTTACAATGATGACGCTAAGCGCAATGTCGATTCTGTGCATTTTAATGTGACGGAAACAACTGGTGTAGGGGAGACCCAGGCAAACGGAGCACCTTAAGCAATCTGTTATTATTATAGGATACTTAATCAATATAGAATTAGAAAGTATCTTAATTAATTATATAATTGTATTAATCCATCTTCAAAAACTAATGAATATTCTTTGTTGGATGTAGCAATTTAGTACACAGACAACGGAAAACAAAACCCGTAACCGTACCGTCGCACGGTGGTCTATTTATTCGAAAACCTGGCAAAAATTGCAAAAACAAAGTATCGGAAATGAATGAAGAATATTTCCTATTTTGAAGTGATACATGCAATAATAAACGACAGACTATTAAACTTGAAGTTTGTGGTGTATCATTCGCCACTACTTTTTAATGACAAAGTTGGAGAGCGTCGGTATCATCCGTTGTGTAGTGTGTTGCAAATATTTGAGAATCTGAATATGGACCATAACAAAGAGAGTACAAAATTTCATCTAATGTAAAAGAGATCTGTCATTAAATATTGAGAAATATCATAAGATTTTGCCATAACATGATGTTTACAGTAGATAGCTACACCACCGCCCTTGTACTGTGTTCTGCAGAAAGAACTGACCAACTGCAAATTATTTATAACAATATTATCAATCGATTCAACTGTAGACCACGTTTCAGTTAGAGGAATTTCACCCCGTCATAGTCTGATAAAATAACGTGTAGCTCATCACCTTTATCAAAATTTAGACACTGAACATTTAAAAGTACTAAACTAGGCTGGAAAGCTAAGTTGATATTTTTTGTAAATTCCTCCTTTTTTGTAAAAAATGGTTAATGCACGTATTCTTTGACCATATTGAAACGTCTAGTGCTTTTTTAAAATTTGATTGTAGAATCGTTATTTTGAAAGAGGAATAAATATTAGGATATTTCGAAGTGATACTTTCAGCAGTGGCCTCCGGAAAAATGTTCTTCACCATGTATTCCATATCACCCAGTTTAGTTTTCGGGTGAATATGGCTAGTATGTAAGGATACAGTTTTTTCGGCATCTTTAACTGGACCATCAAAGGAACCATTCCCAATAACCAAGTTACGCCGGTTGTTTCTTTTGCGCTTTCCTTCAACCACTACTATCACTTGTATCATCCTCGGCTGCATGCTCAGCGAACGGCTGAGGTACCGCTGGAGCAGAAGTACTATTCGCTAACTGCGCTTGCTCGACAGCAAGTGCCACCTGCTGCCTAGTTACGAGTATCATGCTACACGCGTTTCTAGAAACGCTTGCTGTGACTGACTGTTTTGAGATTCTTCATCTTTTTAGCAGACTTCATGTGAATAACATCAGTCATAAGGTCATTCTTCTTACTTGGAGATACCATAGTTTGTTTGTCAATTTGGGCAATAGATGACGATAACTGCTCCAACATTTTTGAAAGTGCAGATATTAATTTGATCAAGCACGCTTTTTATACTTTGTCCTTGCGTTTTTATGATATGGTTTTTGTGTTTTATTATTTCTCTTAAATACAAATTATGCTTTTCACTCACATCATCTTCAACAAACCCTTTTACGCTACAAAATATATGTCGCTGTCTTCTCCAAATTCATCCTCCATTGTTTTTAGTGTTAAATAAGGAGATTCGTCATGAGAACAACAGTTTACCAGCTTGACATCTATATTCTGCAAATTTTTCATATATTTAACGCAACCTGGATGGATTACAGTCTTGCAAGTGACTCATTATTACTTTTTGCGACATTTTGCATCAGACACAACACACCGTTTTTCACCCGATGCCAAGTTCATTTCATTGTTTTGAGTTTGCCCTTTAAATGGCTTTGGAATGACCTTCAGATGCCCTTACAGTGACAAATTGACCTCTGATTTTAACTTGAAGAGAAAAACCTATGTGACGTGCGGACTGATCGGCTTCTTTTGAAAATGTAATGTAAAAAGTAAAGTAAAGTTTATTTACCAAAAATAACGATATTATTGTAAAATGATAATGTGAGCTCAAAATGCCCTTATTGAGCCAAACTAACCCCAGCGAAATCAGCTACCCGAAAATATCCTATTGTACTGAAAATCGTATAAATGCCGTAGAAATTGCATTTTTTCAGCTTCTCGGTTGTCTAGACCACTGTGCGTCGGTTAAAGGGTATTAAAACATTGTGCAAAATGCATACCTATTAAAAATTGTTGAGAACTTAACATTATACAAAAATGGATTACAGAATTATTTACTTTTACTATCGTCAAATTTTGAATATGACAGCACAGGTATCATGAACTGCTGTCGAGATCAGCATCTTGAAGATCAATCACTCCGCTTCAGGGGTAGTTTTCCACGATGATTTCAATGCCCACAGTCGCCTTTACTCAAGATCTAGAGCCTCATTTTTTTGCCCCGCGTTTCGTTACACGCTTTCAGTCTGCTGGATATCTTTTTTACAGCACTGCTTGTCCTGCCACCCCTTAGTAACTCAGACCATGGTATTGTAGAAGTCAGGTCAATCAGAACCAGCTATGGAAGGAGAAAGCAATCCAGGTAGCAAGACTTAGCACTTGTTTGTTTCGCTGACGACTCGCATGCGTCCGCTATCTGTTCGTCAATAACTGAAATTATCCACATTGGGATAGAGGAATACATCCCCCATACAGTGAAAGTGCCTGAACTAGGCACGGCTGTTTCAACAAACTGTGCGACACTAGGCACAGGGAAATGTCGCAGCGCAATGTCAATCGGTCTTTCTGGACGCTGCCCAAGGGGATTGAAGGAAACTTCTCATCGCTTACGTGACAGGATGGAACGACTGTAACCGATTCACAGATTGAGACGTAAGTAGCTGCCAAGCTGATTGCTGTCAATTCCACCGTGGACGCCCCCCCAACGCCCGAGTGCCGTTGATTCAAAGCATTCTCTCTACTATGCCGGAAGTATTCTTCAGGCATAAGACTGTGAGATACGTGCTCTTGTCGCTTGACAACACCGCGTCTCGTCTGGACTTGGTTCCTCCTGGTGTATTGAAGAGATGCGCAGCGGAACTTGCTCCAATTCTTTAGCGATTCTTCCAGCTATCTTAGGAATCTGGTACGCAGAAAACTGGAAATTTGCTCATACCCCGCCCGTCCCAAAAAGAGGATCTAAGACCGACACCTACAACTACAGGCCTATAGCTCTGCTTTCTCTTATAAGTAAGGTTAAGAGGTGCCCAAATCGAGAGCTTAGAGACAGGTAGCATTGTTTATGACGCTAGCGATATCGACAAGAGACTCCTAGCTTACGTCACGTAACTGTGGAGTAAGCTCATCCGGTCAGATGATGAGGTTCATGTCGTTGCTCTAGATTTCACCAAAGCTTTCGATCAGCCGTGACATGCTATCCTCTTATGTAAACTTCCATACCTCTCAGAGAGGATTTGCAGATGTGTGGATGACTTCTTCTCTGGCCGTAAGATATCTGTTGTAATTGACGGGTTCTCCTCCTCTTCATCCTACAATGTTAACGCGAGTGTCCCCAGGGACAGGCCTTGGTTCCAACATTGTGTCTATTACAAATCAATCATCCTTTTATACAGGGTGATACACAAGTCGTGACCAAAAATATATAGAACAGCATTTTAAGGGGGTCTTCTATGTAACATTTTTCCTTGAGGGGTTCATTAAAAAGATACCTGGTGTTGAAGTTTAAGAATAAATTTTTAATAACTTCAGTACCGTCAACTAAAATTTGTTATGAGGATTTACCCAAGTATTGTCCACATTCAAAAGTCCTTACATAATATTAACGTGCACCAGTGGCGGAGATACAGGGGATCGGTGGCATTATTTTTCCAAATAAAAATAGTACGCCACTGTTTTTATTTTCCAAATGCGCAATTTTTCAAATTTTACTTTAAATTTGCTATACAAGTTCGGCATCTTTTTAATAAAGAAAAACGTACTTCCGCAAAATTTGTTGTGGCTTGAATTTTATGAACTGCGTTATCTATTCTTTCTTGTAACTGATCAACAGTATTAATTTGTTCAGCATACCATAGTTGGTTAAAAGCGCCCAACGAAAAGAAATCCAGTGAAATCAGAAGACCTCGCAGGATAATGCACGGGTCCGTTTCTGTCAATCCATCTTGTCTAAAATGATTATTTAACCATGAGGTTATGTCACGACGACATGCGGTGGGGCACCGTCGTGCTGATACCCCATTCGTACTCTAATTGAGTTTGCATTTAAAAATTGTGGCAATACGTGCATAAACAGTTGGCCATTGAAAATGCCGTACCAGACATTTCAAGAAGATCTGTGTTGAAAAGAGTGAATTCTTACAGAATGGGGTATTCTAACGACCAAATATGTTCATTATGAGAATCCACGCAAGACTTAGGAAACATGGTAACTGGGCTGCAATCCGCCTAGTACTTGAACTAGGATCATCCAACGCCAAATCAATCACTTCCAGTTCCTCTTGAACAGTATGCCGGACACCATGGCCCCAAACTCCGGGAAGTTTGACAATTCCATATTGCCGAAGTCTTAGAAATCAACGCGTAAAAACCGTTGGGGTAGTTTGGCGTCTGTTAGGAAATCTACGTTGATACTCCCGAGAAGCCGATAAAGCATTTCCATTACAGAACCCGTACACAAAAATAATGTCGGCGTGTTCATCATTGCTAAAGTCCATTTCACAACATTCAAAAGCAAGAAAAAGAAACTTATGACTTGAATTTAAGAAAAAAAAAAATGGGTAACAACCGTATAACACATAACTTTGACAAACTATCTCCCAAGAAAGGTCAACTTGGTATCTACGCCTCCTATTTTATTTTGAAACTACACAATTGTGTCTCGGTTCTTAATTTGTTGTATTTGTATTTTTACGAAAAAAGTGCACTCGAGGAAAAAAACAAGAGTAATTATGTGTAGCAAATTGAAGGTAAAATTAGAAAAATTGCGTGTTTTGAAAAAAACAATAGGGTACTATTTTTATTCGGAAAGATAATGCCACTAATCCCCTGTATGTCCGCCACTGGTGCTCATTAATTTTGAGTAAATACTTTTGAATGTGGAGAATACTTAGGTAAATCCACATACCAAATTTTAGTTCATTCCAGTTGATGGTTTTGAAGATATTAAAAAATTTTTTTTTATTATTAAACTTCAACACCTCGTACCTTTTTAATGAAGCCCTCGAGAAAAAAATGTTACATAGAAGATCCTCCTTAAAATGCGGTACTATGTATGATGTTTCATTTTTGCTCATGACTTGTGAATATGTATACGTATATTATTAATACGGTCAACGGCTTTGCTGATGACAGCACTATACATGTAGGAATTTGAAGTGCCAGAGAGAAGAAAATTAGCAGTGACTTCCTCTCTGATCAGAGATCAAGAGGTTATCACTACAGCACTGCACCTTGACTAACAAGAAGCGCCCTAGCGCTCATGAGGTTTCTAATGGTAGATGTCCATTTGCGAGAAAATCTTGCGTGAGTACCTCTCGAGAGCATTTCTCGTAAATGTGTATACTTATTAATAGCACATTTGGAGAGTAACTTGCAACTTACATTTTTTCACTGGAATTGAATCATAACGGCCGCTAAAAAAGAATGGTCAAAAGATAATACAAACAGTTTGATTTGTCTATATGAAGAAAATTCTGTCCTGTGGGATACAAAAAATAATGAGTATAGGAACAGAGAGAGAAGAAAAATAAAATATTATAGGGATGCAGGAAATTTCGGTTGCACTTCTGAAGACATTCAACGAAAATTACACAATTTAATGAGTCAAGTAAAGTATTTTAAGGAATGAATGTTCCATATAAATATTCAAGTAAAATTCCAGTTGTCTCAAGAACTGAAGAAGACAAAGATTCTAAAAAGCGGAAGCGGAGCGGATGAAATTTATACAGCAAATGGCCATACTTTGATGCTCTCTTTCTGAAACCTATTCTTAGTACTAATCATACAAAGTCTTCGATGAATTTGACAACGACATCATTCAATCGTGTAAGTAAACACACTTGTATTATTTAAGCCGAGCCGGCAGACGCAATGAATTTATCTCACTTCAGTTATTAGTATTTATGCTTTTTATATTTTTGGTTTTTATATTCTTATCCTTTACAATCTCTTTATATACAGGGTGTTTCAGTTTATTGTTGCATAACTTTAAGATTCGATAGAACTTTTAAAATTAATGCATAAAGTCTATATAAACATGGGTTTTTTGGTACGACAAAACAAACCATGGGCATAGTTTTCCTGTAGCCGCTAGAGGGTGCTCTCTACTGTACCTGTAGTGTATTAAAATAACCGAAAAATTTTTCTTAGTGCAATTTTTTGCTTTTTGAAAAAAAACTGATTCTTCGCACTTTTCAACATAAAAAAGCTCTCTTGTGAATTTTCGTTATAGTTAGCCGTTTTTGAGATATTTCGATTTTTAAGGTTCGATGCATTTTTAATTATTTATGATAAATAACGTTAAAAAGTCAGTATATCGATAATTTTTAGAAGTAGGCTGTGCCTGCAAATATTTTTGAAATCGAAAGCAGAATAAGGTTAAACGTCAATTAGTTGACAGTTAGTTTTGTTGTCTGTTGAAACCTGAAACGTTTTTTTGCAATTGTGAATGCACGAAATTTAGTTTCTTTTACCTGTTTGTTGACCGATGAGTCATGCTTCACTAGACGTGGAGTGGTAAATTTTCATAATCAACATATTTGGTCGCATGAAAATCTGCATGCAGTTCGGGAAAGAAATTTTCAGCATGAATTTAGTGTGAACGTGTAGATTGGTATCTACCGTAATCGACTATTTGGACCCTACCTTTTGCCTGCAAGGTTAAATGCTGCGACTTTTTAAAGGCTGAACATGCAAATATGTGGGATGATGTTATGTTAGATTTAAGAAGATTGGCCTGGTTCCAGCTTGATGGCTGTCCAGCTCATTATTCGAGAGTAGTTAGAAACTGGCTGGACGAAAATTCTCCAGAAAGATGGATCGGCCGTGGAGGACCAGTCGCCTGGCCTCCACGATCCCCTCACCTAAATCCATTAGATTTCTTTGTGTGGGATTTCTAAAAGAAAAAGTGTACCAGAATCAGGAATGCATGTGATGAAATAAGGCCTTATTTGAATAATGCTATACGACGTTCGATCATTCGTAGATGTGAATTGTGTATTGAACAATTGGGTTTACATTTCGAGCAACTACTTTAGATTTTGTATGTTTGTCCTAACTATCCAATAGCATTTTAGTTGTAAATAATTAATTTAATTTGTTAAAAATAATATTGGAAAATTAAACAAATTAATATTCTGTTTTTTTGTGTTTATTTGGAGTTAGGAATTATTGCTGTGTTTAAAAACACAATCTAAACGATCATCTTAATTACTTGTAATGCCCAAATCGGAAATGTAAAAAAATATTATTTTCGCATAAATAATTAAAAATGCATCGAACCTTAACAATCGAAATATCTCAAAAACGGCTAGCTATAACGAAAACTCACAGGAGAGCTTTTTTATGTTGAAAAGTACGAAAAATCAGTTTTTTATTCAAAAAGCAAAAAATTGCACTAAAAAAAAATTTTCGGTCATTTTAATACACTACAGGTACAGTAGAGACCGCCCTCTAGCGGCTACAGTAAAACTATGTCCATGGTTTGTTTTGTCGTACCAAAAAACCCGTGTATACCAATTTTCACTGTTATACATCAAATATTGTTCGAAATATTTAAAAAAAACTATTTTAGAAAGTAAATTTAAACACCCTGTATTTCGGAAACAACGCATTTTTCGACCCATGTTTATATAGACTTTATGCATTAATTAAGTTCTATTGAATCTTAAAGTTATGCAACAATAAACTGCAACACCCTGTATACTAAGCTGAGAAAAAAAGCGGCAGAGTTTAATGGAAATGGCAAATAACTGATTTTAGTATTTTTGGGTGTTATTATTATATCTTTCAGTAGTTGAATCATAAGAAGGCTATCAATAATATACGATTATGTGACACAACTATCAATTGCCACAAATGAAGAGTTTCTAGCAAAAACAGCATTTGACTAAATATAAGCTACAGAAATCCCAGAAAACTACTGATTATTTCTCTTAATAAACATTGTAAATTCTAGTGTCCTGTGTCAGTAAAATTACGATATTTTTTAACATCATCTTACAAATAATTATTTGGAAGTGGTGGGGTTTCTTGACATATGTTGTTTTTGCTAGAAACCCTTCAATCATGTGACACATTTTTTAAGTGTAATTTGTAAAAATGTATCCGTGCATAGGGACAAATACTAAGGTATCTTGTATGAACGCTTTAGGAAAAAAAATGTCTCCATAGAAATATATTTTATTACTATGTCTTTACATTATATGTCTATATTGCCATGGAACTTCCCCAAGTGGCGTCATAAAATACTCATTGAAATCATATCTTACTTCTTTTTGAGATGGCTTATGATTATTAAAATTTCCCCTATTTAGCGGCAGAAAAACATTTTCAGAAACATTTTCCTTCCGCCAGTTACCTGGTATAATTTCATGAGTTCCTTCATCTTCAGCATCAACTAACCACAATGACAGTTCACTACTAGAGAACGGAAAGAAATAAACCACTATCTCAAATGGATACAGGTATGAGAGTTATATCGGATAGTATGTTTCTGACGAGTGTAGATTTTCTAACTGAGAGTTTAAATAACTGAAATGGATCACAAGTTGATACGCCAGTAAAAGTAAATGTCGTGAGAACTTGCGACAGTTATTCTCAAATGGACACCTACCTCAAGGATGGCAGCTAGCTAGAGGCTATTTGTTTAGGGCTTACAAGTAGTTTCCTTTATATAACCTCCTCAGTCCGTACAGAACCTGGGATCTTGGACTTTTCGTTATATTCTATTAATACTACTACGTCGATGCGCAACAACTAAAAAAATAGAGGCCAGCAACCGGCGAGTGCCGTCAAAGGGACTAATGCATGAGTCACGGTCTCATCTCCAGGAGGTAAAACAAGGGAGGACTGTTGGTCTTGTCGACAGTTGTGCGTCTCGAGGGCCCCCTTGCCTGCCCGCGCTGTGTCCGCGTCAGGGCAGCCCCGTAACGAGTACGCCTAATTCAATAAAAGATCTAACCGAACCGGTCTCTCTGATGATGACGCTCCTCTCCGGTTCGGACCCTTCCAGAGCCAGCTACGATCGTTCGCACAACCGGAAATGCTACGTGATTCTCCTTCATGCCGGAATAAAAGACCGGAGAATTGCCATCGGCGCTCGAAAATATTTTCTCTTTGTCTCATAACGGGTCGATAAGCTGTTAATGACTCGAGTGAATTAGGATTTCATAGCATCAGAAGTGCAAGTTTGCGCGACAAAGATATTTTTACATGACGATAGAGGCAATAAGGGCAATAAAAGAATCACACGTCAGATTTGTAGAAATTTACATGCTTTTAGATATTACTATATGTGTTGTGAGAACTATTTTTATACAGAGGCAGTCAGTAACACGAAATTGAAATAACAGAGCCTCTGAAATAAAGAGGTACAAGGTGTTCCTGGAGTTGGGACTTTACTAAGCGTATGTGAATCACCCTGCTTATATCTTTGAAGTATTAGTAGTGATATTAGGTCTAACCAAAACTGGTCTTTCTTCTGATGACTCTTCAGGTTTGAGCTCCTTTGAACTCGACTGAGTGAGGACATAATAGAAGATTTTTGGAGCAGTTTTTAGAGATGTAGCCTTTAACTGCAATCGAGATATATGTCCTGAAGCTGATAGCACTTTTGGCTAAATTGAATTTCTATAGCAGTAGCAATGAGAAGAATTGGATTTATCAACATGTCAACAAGTTCGAGTATGCTAAAGCCTAGGTTGAAGAGAGCTATGTGATATTACAACTGAAGTTCTGTAATTATATCCTTAAAGTGGAATTTCCTGGACTTCCTAGCTATCAAATTCACCTGTGACGTAACGTCGCCATCGTATCTCTTCTAGAAAGTGTTAGGTACTGGTAGCATCGTGCGCTACCCGCAGCCGAATGCACCTCAATTGAATCGAAGAAATGATGTATACAATATGAACTAATTTTCCATGCAAACTCACCTGTATCCTAGCTTCGTTCAACTTAGTACTCCTCGCCAGTTCCTCCCTGCAATAGATATCCGGATAGTGACTCTTCGCAAATGCCGCCTCTAATTCGGCTAGCTGCTCCTGCGTGAAGGTGGTACGGTGTCGCCTCCGCGCAGGGGTGGGGCAGGATGCAGTGGTGGGTGTATGACCGGCATGTTGGGGTCCGCCTGGACCCCCGCCTCCAGGGGTACCTGACACGGGCGAGCCGCCCCCGAGACCGGTGGGGGCGGTGGTACCTGTCACTGGAGCAGTTCCGCCTGTTTGGGGTTCGGGCTTCAGCTTTTTGAATGCGCCGTCTGTAACAAATTTTTAAAACGGTGTCAGTACTAAATTATAATAAAATACTAATGAAATTGAGAGTTTGATAAAGATCCACGTTTAAAAAAACAAGGTTCGGTTACTTGAAATTTCAGCCACTACAAACATCTTTCTTGACTGTGCCCAAACATGATCGTGAATTCTGGACGATAACTATATCCAAATCTTACCAATAGAATCTATTTCAATGTATGTTACAATTAAAATAGTGCTGCTAAGATGACGAAGAACGTCGAAAAACTTTTTAATCAACATTTGAAATTTTGCTGTAGCATATAGCGTGGTAAGTAAAGAAGACATATATTGTGTATGTATACAGAATGACATTTTATGTTGTAGAATCCTGACTAGTTGGTCCAGCGAGTTTAAAATTCAACAGCATTAATGGAGGATAAGAAATCTTGGCCAGATTGCCGATTGCCGACCAGCCGTTGGTATGGAGAGGTTCGAGGCTATTGCGGTACCTATAATATTGGAGGACGGATCTCCCTCTCTTCATTCTTTTTTGTCAAAGATATTTGTAAAAGCGCTGCACGCGCGCATTGCTCGCTATACTGACAAATACATCGTCTACAACAACCAACATGGGTTCAGGGAATCACGATCGATTGAAACAGCCTCCTTTGCGTTTATTAAACGACATATACTTGCGTAATGTAATTGATGGAGTATTTTTGGACTTGTCCAAAGCGTTTGACATCATTAATGTAGAGTCGGTGAGGGAGAAACTTTTCAATATAGGTATTAGATACTTCTTGCTGGACTGGCTAGTGTCTTTCCTGACAGACAGCGAAGTTAGAGTAAAGTGAACGAGGCGCAGTCAGCTACCTATAAAATAAATTAATATAGGCATCACTTCTTTTCATCCCGTTTATAAATGATCTGAAGCTGTCAGGTTCAGTCATGAACTACGCTGATGATACACTGGCCGTGGTAACTATAGATTGGTCTGCAGATCTTTCCTTTGTAATCATAAAATCTCAGATGGAAGAGTGCTGCCAAACAAATCGCCTGATCTTGAATAATGACAAGACGGTAGTTGTTCACTTTTACTCTAGTACTCCACGTCTTATTAGCAGCAATACCTCATACCTTCCTGGTTATTGAGTTGGATGCAGGATTAAATTGGAAGCAACAACTTGACAGTGTATGCAGGAAACTGAATAGGTTCTACTATGCTATATTGAAATTGGAGCCAAATGTCCCCAAATCAACCCTGATAGATATGTACTACGCAGTGGCGTATTTGCATCTCCCAAATCACTCCATCGTCTGGGGACAAGCGTGTACCGCGCCCAGAGAGTTTATTTTGCAGCAACGTATCGTAAAGTTGATATTTAACATTAAAAGGAGAGAGTCTTGAACAGCAATACTTCAGCATTACAACTTGTTGACGCTTCCGTATATATATATATTTATAAATGAGCCGTCTATAGCTTCAATCATAGAGGCCAGTTTCTGTGAAACAATGTCTTCAACACTAGAGCAAAGCAGGACCTGAGTATACCTTCGCATACACTATCAATGTTCGAAAATTCACGAGCCTATACCTGCACCAAGGTATTCAATGAGTTGACATCAATACCAAAAGATATTAGATGCCAAAATCGATTCAAGAAAGAACTGAGGAACAGTGGCGACGCGTGACTTTTCCTAAACTGTTACCAAAAAGGTTTATTTTGAACCTCCCAAATATAAGTTTTTGCTTATTTTAGGTATTTTATTTAAACTATTTTTAAATTAACGTAAATATTCCTGGACTGAGCGTCTGGGGCACTTGATATACCTCATCGTCTTATGCTATGACTAATCCGAGCCATCCGAAAAAACAGTCGACGTTTCTAGATGTTCGGAAATTTTTTTTTCTTTATTGGCAATGAATGTTAACAATTCCCTGTAAATTCCTCTATTGTCAGAGTCATCCCCTTCAAAATGAACGGTAATTCCTGTTTTGGCAAAAAACATACTGTATCTAGAAGTGTGCTTGCTGCCTAAAAGCTTGGTTAAGACAACTTTCGATTCTTGTTTTGCCAAAGTGAATTAAATTGGCTACACATCTCACATGTAACGAAGAAATTTCATTTCTCCTCTTTAGAGTCCTAAAACTATTTAAATTGTCGACTCCGCTGCTGGTCCACCCATTTTTTTCTGTATAAAGCAGAAGACATCGACAATCTGTTTTTTTGCAACCACATAACCAACATATACCAACTTAATTTAAAATATCAAACTACGTTTTTTATTCCTTTTTAAAATTATCTAAAATAGGTGTTGGTCTTCCATCTTCAACGATCTCCTTTTTTTCTTAAAAATTATACAAGGAGAATGAGTTTTCAAGTAGTTGAATGATTACGCAGCGACACTCATACATCTTTAATTGCACGCACACTACAGCTGGTAACCAAAACGGCTACTGACGAGTGAGAAGTGAGGAACCAAATCAAAAAAAGGTTAACAAGCCAACATAATAGTCGCAGTTCCCCACGCGCTCGGGCGACCGCGATCAGACACGAGCCGGTTCCGATGGTCCCCGACGGACTACCAAATGTATCCATAAATGAAAATGGTAACAACCGACAACCGACAACCAAGTCGAGGCGAGTCAGCTTCATCGTGTTCGCAAAACCTAGACAGTATAGGGCGCATTATTTTCGTGGGGCTAATTTGCTGTTTACTGAATTACTATTACATATCGCTGTTGGTAAACAAATAAATGAAATTATTTCACAGTACTTAGTCATAAAATATTTATTTTTAAGATTTTTAACTGTTACTAATGGTAACAATGGTTACATGGACGATTCGCTACTGCTGAGGAATCTGTCATTAGATAAATTGAGTCATAAACGATTCAATGTACAAAAACGCTTAACCTCGACAGTTTGCTAATCAGCCGTTTTGGAAGAAAGTGAATTTATATTGTAGGGTTATAAAGTACTCATAAGAAGCTTCAAAATAAGATATCACATTACTTTCTATTCTATCTCAAAAACTGCAAGTTGACGCCCAGCTCCTATATTGAATTTTTCAATTGCCGCATATACTTAAAAATCTTGTATTCATGCACAACATTCATCACCACGAATTACAGTTTGCTAACTTGACTCGTTCAAAAAATAGTATAAGGCACTTGTTTTGAAAGCAATTTTTCGTATGGTGGAATATTTTCCCGCTTAAGATTTACGGTTCTCACGTTATGGATAATCTCATTTACTCATGCGCGGTATTCGGCTCATTACACCTATCAACTGCGACGGATGCCTTAAGATGAGAAAAATGAGTCCACTATTCATCTTGCAAAGTACTGTGGACCGAAGGTTTCATTAGGAGCGCCGCAAGTCTTAGTAATGCGGAGATACGAGGCTCTAAGGATAAGCTCCCTCGACAACGTTTGTGGGCCTAAAATACCTTCAGTTGACCTCAAGTTTGGGAGACGATATTTTCTGTCGCGATCAAGAGGTGATGTTCCAGATATTCCAGAAGATTATTCTTAATAAATTCCTTTTGACCATTTTGTGATGACAGTCAGAGCTCTAGGCCTAGTTGGTATTCGATCCTTTTCCCAATATGACAAACTTTTACTTGCCACATCACTAGCGAGGAAGTATTGCGATTCCGGACAGTTTAGAACATGAGATATAACTTACGTCCTACGTTTACAGGTATTGTAATTGCGAAATCGAACGCCAGATATTATGTTTTTTGGATGTTATATAATAATAATAATAACAATAATAATAATAATAATATTAATAATAATAATGTTTATTGGAGCACTTATACAAAATGAATATATATACATTAAAAAAAACACTCCAAAAGGCTGAGGATTGGCATTGCCATTTTTCACCGTAGCCTATAGCAATTACAGAGAGAATTAAAACAATAAAAAAACATGCGATTCAACTTATCTCTAATTTTACATAGGTAATGTAATCTATAAAATTGAGGTGCAATTTTAAATAAAATATTGAATCGTAAGTTGTTAATCTTCAGCTTCAGAAGCCTGTAACTGGAGAAGCGCCTTCTTGAATTCCTTTCTGACACTACTACTGGAAGTAATTTGGAAAAGTTCTAAATATTTATTCAACAAACAAGGTGCTGTGTAAGTGAAAGCTTTTTTGAATTTAGATGTTACATGGCTTGGGATATTATAACAATTATCGTTTCTTAGAAAAACATGTCGAACAGAGGATCTTTTCTCTAAAATATTATACAGATAATTTGGAGATTTATATCTTAAAACTTTATATAATAGAGCACCATAAAAAAGCAATGAGCGGTAGCTATATTTTAAAATGTCTTCTCTCACTTAGTAGCCAGTGATGTGTTCTTCTCTACCTATATTATTATAACAAAATCTTATGCAACGATTCTGTAAAATCTGATTTTTTTGTTTTATTTCCTCTGTAAGGAAGCTGTAATAGACTGTGACACCATAATCCAAATGTGTAAGGATTACCGAGTTTACACGCATTAATTTAGTATCACGTATCACATGTACATTACGAAAAACCTGTCTCACTCATTGCCGTCGGCCTGACTGTCTGTCGGTCTGTCCGTCTGTCGTCTGTATGCTAATCTTTGGGCCGTCTATAACTTGGAAAGTACTCGGATTTGAATGAACTTTTTACGCAGTTTCTACTATGCCAAAGACGAAAAAGCTTTGTAGTTTTTGAAAATAAGTCTAGGCGGCTAAAAACGAAAAAAATAAAAATTGCTCACATTTTGTTTTTTGACGTTTCAGCGAATCCTGATATCTTAGAAAACATTTTTGTGGATAAAAAATTGAGGGGTGGGAGGTTGTATGCGGATAGGAGAGGGTACACCGCAATTTTTTGATGTAAGGATATTTATACACCCTGGCTAATTCTACGCACTTATTAGATATATTTCACACGTCATAGGTTATTGTGTGCTTTTTCCCTTAAAATTTAGAACAGAAGAAAATATTGTCAAAAAACACTTCTCTTGATGT